CGGGCGAGCGCGCGCCCCCTACAGTGAAAATCTCTCCAAAAAAAAAAAAAAAGAGAGATTTTTGCTATAGGGCATGCGTGCTCACAGGAAAGACAGAGAGAGACAGAGACAGAAAGTGAGAAATCACCCCCCAGGTGGGATGGCCAAGCTTCAATCCCTTCTCCATTCTCCTCTCTGAACTTCGGGCACGCACGCACATGCGCCCGGCGTGAGGTTTAAGCCTCCTGGTCTAGTACTTGAACTGTGGTTGACAACATGGGAGTCCAGCGACCTAACCATTACACCATCTGCTGATCCCAGCACCCCACCTCTTCCAGATAGGATCTTGTGTTGTCCAGGCCAGCCGGCCTTGAGATCCTCTTGACTTACCTTCCCCAAGTTGATGGGATGACAGAAATCCAACCCGAGTCGCCCATATGGTCCTGGCCTGTGGAGCATAGCATTTTAACAGCACACGCCACGGGAGCTGGGTCCTCTGACTGACAGTGATTTTGTCATTAAAAAGTTGTTCTGATTTAATTTTAATTTAATTTACATTATTAGCGGTTGCGAGTTCATTTCCTCACTAGGCTGTAAGTTCTCCTAGGGCGAAGATCTCGCTTTGGCTTCCAAGTTTAGTCATCCTTGCAGTCCCAGTTCTTAGTTCATCACCCTGGTAAGTAGCTGCTCGCCTCTTTCATCCAGAACAGAGGGCGGCAGATGCTGAGGACGTAAGACATATGTGTTCTGGGAACCAGCAGTTAGCGTAATGGCTACGTCGCTGGACTCCCACGTAGTCAACCGCGGTTCGCGTCCTGGACCCGGTGGCTTAAAACTCACGCTGGTGCGTGTGCGTGCGTGCCCAAGATCCCGAGAGGAGAATGGAGGAGAAGGGATTGCGGCTTGACCATCCCCTTTGGGGGGTGATTTCTTGCTTTCTGTCTCTATGTCTCTCTCTGTCTGTTTGGCGAGCGCACGTGCCCTATAGCAAAAATCTCTCTGGCAAAAAAAGACTTATGTGTTCTGCTGTCTGAGAGCTGAGACTCCTAGGACGGCATCTTCCTGACATGCCCTGGACCTGTGTTTTCAAGCTGCAGAACTCAGAGGGTGGTGAAATTTAACTGGAAACTTGTAAATAGATTTTTTTAAAAAGAGGAAATAGAGGGACCAGCAGTTAGCGTAATGGCTATGTTGCTGAACTCCCATGTAGTCAACCGCGGTTCAAGTCCCGGACCCGGCGGCTTAAACTCACGCCAGGCATGTATGCGTGCATGCCCAAGATCCCGAGAGGAGAATGGAGGAGAAGGGATTGCAGCATGGCCATCCCCCCTGGGGGGTGATTTCTTGCTTTCTATCTCTCTGTCTCTCTCTGTCTTTTTGGCGAGCGCACGCACCCTATAGCAAAAACCTCTCCAAAAAAAAAAAAAAAAAAGAAGAAGAAATAGAATAAAATACAAAGTAGAAATGGACCGGACATCAGAGTGCATCCCACAGGAGTGTAAAGAGCCACACGCATCCCTATGTACTGGGTTGCAATGCAAAATGCTCTTTCTTTTTTTTTTATTATTTATTTTATTTTATTTATTCATTCATTTATATTTTAGTTTGACCAGAGAGAGACAGAGGGTGAGAGTGAGAGAGAGAGGAAGTGAGAAAGCAAGCCACCAGATTCAGGACTTGAACCCTAGTCGGCCATGTGGGAGTGTCTAGCGCCTTAACCACCACACCACCTCCTGGTCTCCTGCAAAATGCACTTTCTTTCTTTTGTCTGCTGGTTATTTTTTTTGCTACATGGTGTGGGTGCTTGCCAGAAAGAGACAGAGCAAAAGAGAGGGAGAGGAAAAGTGAGAAAGCAACCTCACAGGGGTGTTGGCCACACTGTAGTCCCTTCTCCTTTATTCTCCTTTTGGGATTTTGAGCTCCCACACGTGAAACTTGAACCGCCTAGATGGCCTGGTGGGGTCCAGCACCTTAGCTTCCATGCCACCTGCTGGGCTGTAAAATGCATTTCTTCCTGGGGTTTAGGTCCACAAAAGTTCAGTAAATGCCACATCAGGCTTCGTCTGGATAGAAGTGTGGGTAAGACAGTGTCCTGGTTCAGTGCACCCTGGGCGTCCGAAGCTGAGTCACGTCATCGGTGGAAATGACACCTGGAGAGCTCATTCAAAGGACGAGTGGAAGTGGAGACAATCTCAGGATGCTCTTGCCGGCTGCTCTGCCTTTCTGGGCTTTGGCTGGCTGGTGCTACATCCTTCAAGCCATTCAATGACATGTACGGTCAGTTGTGTTTTGTCTATTTTTTTCCCAAATAATAGACGACTTAGGGTATTATTCAAAACTGAATAGAAAACAAAAAACAAACAAAAACAACTTGTTTTGCTACCATAGATGGTTAGGCCATAAATTGCATGTTCCTGGATAACACTGGATGAAATCCTGGAGGAAAGAAAGCAGGCGGCATGGTGTGGAAGGAACAGGGCCTGTGCCCTGCACTGACGAGGCCCGGGCCCTGTCAGCACTTACAGCCTGTGTGGATTCAGGTGAAGGGACCCCCTACACTACGGCTGAGGACTGGCCCTGCCAACTGTGGGAGGTACAAACATTGTATCAACACTCTGACCTCAAGGAATTTAAAACCAGATAGGCAATTTGAGTACATAAATACAAAATATAATTCCTAAGAGTTAATGTAGCTTATCAATGCTGAATTTATTTATTAATTTTTTGGGAGAGGTTTTTTGCTGTAGGGCCCATGTACTCCCCAGAAACACAGAGACAGAGAGACAGAAAGCAAGAAATCGCCCCCCGGGGAGATGGCCAATCAACAATCCCTTCTCCATTCTCCTCTCAGGATCTTGGGCCTGCACGCACAGGCACCCGGCATGAGTCTAAGCCACCGGGTCCGGTACTTAAACCGCGGTGGACTACATAGGAGTCCAGCAACATAGCAATTATGTCATCTGCTGGTCCTGGCTGAATTAATTTTTTTAAAGAATTATTTTATTTATTTTATTTATTTATTTATTTTTTTTTGAGAGGGCCACACCACAATCCCTTTTCCTCCATTCTCCTATTGGGATCTTGGGCACGCATGCACACGCGCCTGGCATGAGTTTAAGCTACCGGGTCTGGGACTTGAACCTCAGTCAATTACATGACAGTCCAGCAACATAGCCATAATGCCAAGTGCTGGTCCCAACTTCATTTATTTTTTCGTTTGACCAGAGAGGGACAGAGCAAGACAGAGAAGGAAAGAGAGAAAGAAAACAAGCTGCCAGATCTGGGACTCGAACTGCAGTCAGCCATGAAGGAGTCCAGTGCCCTTAACCACCATGCCATCTGCTGGCCCTGCCAAAAAATATATATTTTTAATCTGTCACTCATAACTTCCAAAAATATACATTGGCACTTGTGTAGGTGGCAGACCCTGTGCTGGGAATGCCAAGACATCACCCTTCCCTAGAAGGCACTCAGTCCAAGAGAGCTTTCCCTCTCCAGGTATGAACGGTGTTTCATAAGAATTAGGTTAGGCTTGGGACCAGCAGTCAGCGTAATGGCTGTGTCACTGGACTCCCACGTAGTCAACCGTGGTTCGCATCCTGGACCCGGTGGCTTAAAATTCACGTCGAGCGTGTGTGCGTGCGTGCCCAAGATCCCGAGAGGAGAATGGAGGAGAAGGGATTGCGGCGTGGCCATCCTCCCTGGGGGGAGATTTCTCGCTCTCTCTTGTCTCTCTCTGTCTTTCTGGCGAGCGCAAGAGCCCTATAGCAAAAACCTCTCTAAAAATAAATAAATAAATAAATAAATAAGAATTAGGCCCATCAGGGCCAGCAGGTGGTGGTGGTTAAGGTGCTGGACTCCCACATGGCTGACCATGGTTCGAGTACTAGACCTGGAGGCTTGAAACTCGTTCCAGGTGTGTGTGTGTGTGTGTATACTCAAAATCCCAAGAGAAGAATGGAGAGTAAGGGACTGTGGCATGAGGGGGCCATTTCTCACTTTCTCTCTGTCTCTCCGGTGAGTACAGGCGCCCTATAACAAAATCTCTCTCTCCAAAACTAAATAAAAAGAATTGGGCCCATGGCACTGGTAGGTGGCGTGATGGTTAAGGCTCTGGATTCCCACATGGTGGATCATGGTTTGAGTCCCATACCTGGCGGCTTAAAAATGACCCCAGGGAATGTATATGTGTGTGCCCAAAATCCTGAGAGAAAAATCGAGAAGGGAATGCGGTGTGGCCCTCCCCCAAGGAATGATTTCTCACTTCCCCTCTCTTGTCTCTCTTAGGCAAGAGCATGCACCCCCTGGCAACAGCAACAAAAAAGAATTGGGCCAATTTATTAAGGAGTTGGACAGATCTGGGATTCAATATTAGGTAAATCATCGCCTAGACCTGTGACCTTGGGCAAATTGTCTAACCCCTCTGGGCCTCGGCTTCTTCATCTGGAAAATGTGTGTAACAGTATTACTTACTTCTGGGACCAGCAGGTGGCGCGGTTGTTTAGGTGCTGGTCACTCCCACTTGGCCAGCCATGGTTCAATCCCAGACCTGTTGGCTTGCTTTCTCACTTCTTCTCTCTCTTGCTCTCGCTCTGTCCCTCTCTTGTCAAATTTAAATAAATAGTTAAATCAAATCATTCTTTTTTTAAAATATAATTACTTATTTTATTTATTCATTCATTTATTTTAATTTGACCAGAGAGAGACAGAGAGAGAGAGACTGAGAAAGCAAACTGCCGGGTCCAGGACTCAAATCGTGGTCAGCCATGTGGGAGTGTCCAGCACCTTAACCACCACGCCACCTGCTGGTCCCTCAAATAATTCTTAAAAATTTTCATAAGAAAAAGACTTTTGCTATCATTTGCTGCAAAGTAGATGCAGTTTTGAAAAATCTTGAGGGCCCAGCTGGTGGTTGGTGCTTAAGGGCACTGGATTCCCACATGGCCAACTGTGGTTCGAATCCTGAACCTGGTGGCTTGCCCTCTCGCCTTCCTTCTCTCTCTCTCTATCTCTCTCACTCTGTCCCTTTCTGGTTAAATTTTTAAAAATAGGTAAATAAATAAGTAAAGTTAAATGAAATAACTATTTTAAAACATAAACTTGCTAAGGAAATCCATGAATAATGCCAATGAATGTTGGTGATATGTAAATACAGTTGTAAATGGACTAGACCCCTGGCCCAACAGTTAAAACAGCAGAATTACACAGAGCCGACAGCACAGCTGCGGACCTTCATGTTGCGGCTCAGGGACCCGGAGCGCCCCTTCCCTGCGGCACGTGAGAAAGAGAACATGGAGAACCTCCTAAAGGCTTCCACTGAGAGGCAACAGGACCACTTCTGCTGCCCCGTCCAGCTCTGAGGATTGCACCAGACTCTCAGGGAGCAGGGAGTGCTCCTCTGCGTGCCCTGGGTGGGGGTAGGGGAGAGAACTGGGGATGCGGGTGGTGGCAGTGCAGGGGATGCAGGTGGTGTCTCCTGCCCTGCTCTCTGTACTCTTCACGCTGACTTTTTTGGTCTCTCAGACAGGTGTGTTCCTTCCTGCGACAGGGCCTTTGTCCAGGCTGGCCATTCTGATGACAACACTTTTTTCTTTTCTTTAGTTTTTAGGTTTTGCTAGAGGGTGTATGGGCTTGTCAGGGAGAGAGAAGGTGAGAAAGCACTTCCGGGGGCGATGGCCATGCCGCAATCCTACCTCTGCTCCCCTCGCGGGATCTGGGGCATGCACACTCACGTACCTGGCATGTTCTTCCCACCACTGAGGGGCCGGGACTCAGGCTGCACAGCTGGCCACATGGGGTCCGGCCACCTTAACTGCCACGTCACCTGCTTGCCCACTAATTGCAATACCTTTTGCCCCACTTTTTTGTTTGTTTAATTCTTTTTTTTTTTTTTTTTTGCTATAGGGCATGTGCGCTCACCAGACAGAGAGAGACAAAGAGACAGAAAGCGAGAAATCACTCCCCGGGGGGATGGCCACACCGCAATCCCCTCTCCTCCATTCTCCTCTTGGGATCTTGGGCATGCACGTTCGCACGTGCACCCTGCGTGAGTTTTAAGCCGTTGGGTCTGGGACACGAACCACGGTCAACTGCATGGGAGTCCAGCAACATAGCCATTATGCTAACTGCTGGTCCCTGTTTGTTTAATTACTTTATCATCGGGCATGTGCACTTGCTGGAGAGAGAGACACATAAGAGAGTGAGGACAGACCCCTCAGGGCGGATGGTGATGCTGCCTTCTCTTCCCATTCTCCTCTTAGGATTTGGGGCACCCACGCACATGAGCCTGGTGTTTTTCCAGTCACTGCGCCCAGGACTCGAAACACTCAGCTGGTCGTGTGGAATCCACCTGCCTTCCCCGCCACAGCAAGGCAGGCCCTCACCCCCACTATGCGCTTGATTCAAATCTACGGCTCTTTCAGAAGGCGGCTCATTACCCCTTCCATAGGGAGACTGTGCGATCCCCTCTGAGTAAGTCAACTCTCCCTGTTATTATCTGCTCACAGAACATTAGACGCCCCCACCTTAGGACACCAGCTGTAATTTGCAGCCCATCGTGTGATGACTTCATTAATGACTGCTCCCTCTGCGGACTTAGTGGCAGGAATCATGTATTGTTTTTGTTTTTGTTTTTGTGGAGAGGTTTTTTGCCATAGGGCGCATGCGCTTGCCAGCCAGACAGAGAGAGACAGAAAGTGAGAAATCATCCCCTAGAGGGGATGGCCACGCCGCAATCCTTTCTCCTCCATTCTTCTCTCGGGATCTTGGGCACGCACGCACATGTGCCCGGCTTGAGTTTTAAGCCACCGGGTCCGGGACATGAACTGCTGTCGACTACATGGGAGTCCAGCAACATAGCCATTACGCTAACTGCTGGTCCCTGCAGGAATCATGTTTTTATTAACTCCCTGTCTCTGTTACCTCTCCCGGTGCCTGGACTGCTGCTGCGTGAATAAGAAAGGGTTCTCGAGCGACCGGGAGCATGTCTGCTTTTTACCGTCCAGAGTCTGCCTGTTGCTGATGTTGAGGAACACTGCCTTGCATGAATGGCCGTCAGCAGCCTTGAGGGAAACACTTGGCAAACACACTGGACAAACACTTGCTGATTTCATTCTGCACGGTTACTCTGGAGAGGACCTCCCTCAGCTCTCTGAAGGTGTCATTCTTTTTATGCCTTTGATTTATTCATGATATAGCGTATGCATGCACATGAGAAAGAGAATTTTAATGCATAATTTTAATGCACATTTCTTTTTTTTTATTAGGTGGTAAGTGTGGGTACAAGAGTCTATAAGGGAGGGGAGTGGAAGGTAGAGAGGGAACAGTAAAGCATGGATGTGAGGTACAAAGACAAGAATTTTTTTTTTTATAGGTTTTTGCTATAGGGCGCGTGTGCTTGCTGGAAACACAGAGAGAGACAGAGAGACAGAGAGCGAGAAATCACCCCGGGGGGATGGCCACACCGCAATCCCTTCTCCTCCATTGTCCTCTTGGGATCTTGGGCACACACGCACACACTCCCGGCGTGAGTTTAAGCCACCGGGTCTGGGACTCAAACCACAGTCGACTACGTCACTGCGCCCAGGACTCGAAACACTCAGCTGGTCGTGTGGAATCCACCTGCCTTCACCGCCACAGCAAGGCAGGCCCTCACCCCCACTATGCGCTTGATTCAAATCTACGGCTCTTTCAGCAGGCGGCTCATTACCCCTTCCATAGGGAGACTGTGCGATCCCCTCTGAGTAAGTCAACTCTCCCTGTTATTATCTGCTCACAGAACATTAGACGCCCCCACCTTAGGACACCAGCTGTAATTTGCAGCCCATCGTGTGATGACTTCATTAATGACTGCTCCCTCTGCGGACTTAGTGGCAGGAATCATGTATTGTTTTTGTTTTTGTTTTTGTGGAGAGGTTTTTTGCCATAGGGCGCATGCGCTTGCCAGCCAGACAGAGAGAGACAGAAAGTGAGAAATCATCCCCTAGAGGGGATGGCCACGCCGCAATCCTTTCTCCTCCATTCTTCTCTCGGGATCTTGGGCACGCACGCACATGTGCCCGGCTTGAGTTTTAAGCCACCGGGTCCGGGACATGAACTGCTGTCGACTACATGGGAGTCCAGCAACATAGCCATTACGCTAACTGCTGGTCCCTGCAGGAATCATGTTTTTATTAACTCCCTGTCTCTGTTACCTCTCCCGGTGCCTGGACTGCTGCTGCGTGAATAAGAAAGGGTTCTCGAGCGACCGGGAGCATGTCTGCTTTTTACCGTCCAGAGTCTGCCTGTTGCTGATGTTGAGGAACACTGCCTTGCATGAATGGCCGTCAGCAGCCTTGAGGGAAACACTTGGCAAACACACTGGACAAACACTTGCTGATTTCATTCTGCACGGTTACTCTGGAGAGGACCTCCCTCAGCTCTCTGAAGGTGTCATTCTTTTTATGCCTTTGATTTATTCATGATATAGCGTATGCATGCACATGAGAAAGAGAATTTTAATGCATAATTTTAATGCACATTTCTTTTTTTTTATTAGGTGGTAAGTGTGGGTACAAGAGTCTATAAGGGAGGGGAGTGGAAGGTAGAGAGGGAACAGTAAAGCATGGATGTGAGGTACAAAGACAAGAATTTTTTTTTTTATAGGTTTTTGCTATAGGGCGCGTGTGCTTGCTGGAAACACAGAGAGAGACAGAGAGACAGAGAGCGAGAAATCCCCCCGGGGGGATGGCCACACCGCAATCCCTTCTCCTCCATTGTCCTCTTGGGATCTTGGGCACACACGCACACACTCCCGGCGTGAGTTTAAGCCACCGGGTCTGGGACTCAAACCACAGTCGACTACGTGGGAGTTCAGTGACATAGCCATTACGCTAACTGCTGGTCCCTTAATGCACTTTTCTTGATTTGTGGTTTTTGTTTTTTTTTTTGCTAATGACATATTACTTGCTGTTTATTTTATATGTATTTATTAAATAACTATTTTATTTAACTTTATTTATTTATTTACTTTAATTCGATCAGAGAGGGACAGAGTAAGAGAGAGAGAAAGTAAGAAAGCAAGCGGCCAGGTCTGGGATTCAAACCATGGTTGTTGCCCATGTGGGAGTCCAGTGCCCCTTAACCCCCATGCCACCTGCCAATCCCTATATGTATTTTTTTAAAGAATTATTTTTTATTTAACTTTACTTATATTTTTATTTATTTATTTTAATATGACCAGAGAGAGCAGAGTGAGAGAGAGAGAGAGAGAAAGTGAGAAAGCAAACTGCCAGGTCCGGGCCTCAAATCGCGGTTGACCATGTGAGAGCTCAGCGCCCTTGTCCACCATGCCACCTGCTGGCCCCATCGTATGTATTTTTATATGC